GTCCACCGCCCCCCGTGCGTGGACGACCGCCTCCGTCGCCTCCATCCACGCCGTCCCCCCGACGCACGCCCTCGCGCCCGCGACGGGTGCCCCTCACGCGCGCCGCGCTCACCCGGACCGCGTCGTCGAGCGTTCGTCGTCGAGCGATCGACGCGTCGCGCACCGACGCGCGCGCGATCGCGATCGAATCTGAAAAACCTCCCCTTCGCGTCGTGTGTGCGCCCACGTACGGGTTTTCGTCACATCGCGTCGTGCGCGCACCCACGTACGGGTTTTCGTCACACCGACACCGCCCGTCGTCGGGCCCGCGTCCGCGAACGTCGCCGCCGATGGCGACGGCGGCGACGCGGGCGACGCCGACGCGCCCGCGACGGGATCGACGCGATCGATCGGTCGCGGGCGCGGCGCGCGGGCACGTCCGAGGGGTGAAGATTCCGACGCTGTTAAATAACGTCCCGCACGCGCGAGAGACGCGACGATGGTTTTACGACGACGCGTGCGCGTCGACGCTGGCGGCGGTGACGGCGGGCGAGCGGCGAATGAAGATCAAGACGGAGTTCCCGGAGTTGAACCCGTCGGGGGACGTCTATCGCGTGGGAACGACGCTGGAGTTGACGCGGGCGATGGCGCAGACGCTCGCGCGGGACGGGAAGCGGGTGAAGATATGCGTGCAGCGATCGATGGGACAGGGTGTGTTCCAGGCGCTGCCGCTGAGTTTGAGCGGCGTGAGTAAGCTGTTGGGGATGATGGACTTCGAGGAGGACGTGGCGGAGATGATTGATCCGAACGGGGGGATCGGGGCGGAGGACGGGGCTGAGGATGGGGCGGACGCGTACATCTTGGTCCAGCCGCAAAACATCGTGGGGTACTCCGTGTTGCCGTACATCGCGGCGATGGAGGAAGCGGTTGGGGACAAGCCGATGATCATGATTAATCCCAAGTTGGACGACATTCAGAGCGCTGGGAATGTAATGTCTATTCGAGGACGGCAGGAGCGCATGGACGCCGTGGCGGCGTGGCGGGAAATTTATCACTTTCGATTGCTCTACAGAAAGCCGTACTTTTTCCCGATTTACGGTGCGTTGCGGTACACGTACTACGAAAACGCGTGGGAGCTGTACAAGCGGGTCGGAATGCGCGAGGAAGAAGAATACGTCCTTCGTTCGACGTACGATTCGGAGCCCGATCCTGACGAGATGACCAAGCAAATTTGGGGATGACTTTTAGCTCGCGCGCGTCGTAAACTAGTGCAATAAGATTTTCATTTCGACGCTAATAATTGTCACCTCTGAACCTGGAGCCACGCTTTCATATGTTTCGCGAGCGCCGTGGATGGGACGCCGTGCGCGCCTTCGTGAAACCAAAACTCTCGCTGAGACTCCTCGAAGTGCTCAGCGAGCGCCATCATGCGCTCACGCGTCACCAACTTATCGTTCTCACCGTGCACGTGCAGAGTCTTGATCGCTATCGGCGTCGCCTCGCGCGCTGCTGACTTCAAGACTGTGTCTAAAGGCTCGAAACCGGCGACGAGCACCGCCCATCGCGCGCTCCCCCTTAACTCCTCGATCATCGCCAGCGCCGCCAGCGCGATCGTCGCTCCCTGACTAAATCCTATCACGCCCCCGAACGGGCCGTGTTCCAACGCGAACGCCCGTATTTTTTCGCACGTCTCGTCCAAACCGTCGTACTCGCGCGAGAGCGCCGGTCGCGTCCACCCGTCGTCGCTCGCCCGCGTCGCCCCCGCCCTCGCGTTCTCCCCGCTCGTGAACCACGCGAACGACCCAGAGGCATCGTTGGACGCCCCGAGCTCCCGCATCTCCGCCCCATCCGCGTCGAACGCCCCGGCGACGTCGTGCGGGGCATCCAGAAAGTAAAACTCGCACGCGCTCTTCAACTGCTTTCTCATCGCCCCAATCTTCGCTCGAAAAGTCGTCCCGTCCTGGGCGAATCCGTGCAGGCACAAAACTTTCGTCTTCCCATCGCGCTCCGTCGTCGTCGACATCGTCGCGATGCGAAGTGCGGGGAGACATTATGAGATTTTGAGTTGAAAACGTAACGACCGACGCGAATGCGTCACACATGAACACGAACGACGACGACGACGACGACGACGACGACGACGATGACGACGTCGTCGAGCGCTTGAACGCGCACCTCACGCGGTGGCGCGTAGATGACGGTCTGGTTCGAGTGCGGCCGTCGTCAACGTTCCCGGATGGGACCAATCGAGGCGGCGTCGCGGGTGGCATTTCAATCGAGCACGCGCACGGCATCGCGTTGGACATCCTAAAGCGTGGATTCGACGTCGATCACGACGTTCCGGTGGTGGTGCGAACGCGTGGGGAGGTGTTAGCGAGCGACGAGGGGTACGGGCGATGGCGAGCGTTCGCGCGGGCGAACGAGGGGGTGACGCCGCGGGCGAACGCGGAGGGCGGGACGGGACGGGCGCACGCGACGCTCGGGAGCTCGCACTTCATGCTGGCGATGAAATTGATCGAGTTCGACGTTGGATCTGTGTTTGGGAGGGGGATTCGCTACGGTGAGGCGAAGCAGCGAGACGCGGGCGTGCGAGAGGCGATCGAGCTCGGAGTGCCGAGCGTGGTCCTGCGAGAGGAGACGCCGGCGCGCGTGCGACGATACATCTCCGTCGCGCTCAATCGCTCCGAGGACGTGGGATTTAAGCTCTGTCGCGAAATGGGCGTCGCATTGAGGATCTCGCGCGACCGAGAGAGCGTCCGAGAGCTCACCGTCTTCGAGGCTTTATCCAGAACGCTCGACGCGGAGGAACTCTCGTCGCTCGCGCGCATCAAATACGGACTCAATCTCGACGACGCCGAGTCCGGATACGTCGCCGTCTCCGCGATGAGATCGCGACTGTGACGTTAATGCTCTTGTACACTACAGCCGCCTTAAAATAGCGTCCGCACCGCGTCGCACCCACTCGCGCGCGAAAAATCCGTGCCGTGTACCACAGCAGCACGAAAAAGCGCAGCCGCCACCTCGTCACACGTCTCCGCTCGGACGCACCGCATGAGCGCCCCCCTCCCCGCCGAAGCCGCCGAAGCCGTGCTCGTGAAGTCGTCGGAGATCCCCGAGGACGCCGTCGAGGTCCGTGGGTACGATTTCGACGCGCCGACGACGGATTACGATGCGTTGTTGCAATCACTCCTGAGCACCGGGTACCAAGCGACGTCGTTCGGACAAGCGGTGCACGAGGTGAATCGCATGCTGCGGTGGCGACTGAGCGATGAAGCGATCACGGAGGAGACGGAACCGGAGGATCGGGACGAGGGGGTGCGAAGGGAGACGAGAACGAAGATTTTCTTGGGTTGGACGAGCAACCTGACGTCGAGCGGGACGCGAGAGACAATCAAGTATTTGGTGAAGAATAAAATGGTGGACGTCCTGTGCACGACGGCGGGCGGGGTGGAGGAAGATTTTATAAAATGCATGAAACCGACGTATTTGGGGGACTTCGCGCTCAGGGGGGAAGATCTCAGGAAAAAGGGGTTGAACCGCATCGGAAACTTGATTCAGCCGAATGACAACTATTGCGATTTTGAGGACTGGATCATGCCGATCTTGGACGAGATGCTTCGAGAGCAGAACGAGGAGGGAGTGAAGTGGACGTGCTCGAAGGTGATCAAGCGGCTCGGGCTGGAGATTAATCACGAGGATTCCATCTTTTATTGGGCGGCGAAGAACGACATCCCGTGCTACTGCCCGGCGCTCACCGACGGCTCCATCGGGGACATGCTGTATTTCCACTCTTACAAGAACCCCGGACTCG